AAGGAAGGTATCCCTGACACTTCCCTAATTACACATGGTATATAAATGTTGCCACGCCCCCATCTAGATGGTGAGGCGGGAGGTGGGCGTATTGCTGGTGTGGTGCAACAACTAATTTCACATGCAGCACGGGCCAAGGCATCAAAATCCGGCTAATGTCGCTCCGCCAAGAACAACTCTCGGCTCCAGTGAACCAGGACAAGAGGCAAGACAAGACAAGACTTACGTACCAATTACATGAGCACAGCCAATGGAGGTGGACCAAGTGTTGTGGTGGGCGGAAGCCAGTCAGTGATGCCGTGAAAAATATTTCGAATTATAAGAATTATAACAAGAAAGGAAAGCTAGCTTCGGGCGGAGCCGAAGTTGATATACCCTTGCAGAATATTCTGTAAATTATATTATCCAAAATTATTCTTAATATTCTTAATACTCATAAAAAATCCCAACTTCCGAACTTTAAAAACACCAAAGTTAAGGCATTTCCAATCGTTCAGTTATATTAAAGCTATAGTCGGCCGATCCCTGCCGTTCCGACGGACAGACGGACATGCTTATATCAACTCAGGACGCGATCCTGATCAAGAATATATATACTTTATAGGGTCGGAGATGTCTCCTTCACTGCGTTGCACATTCTTGACCAAAATTATAATACCCTTTGCAAGGGTATACAAATAAAACTGATCTTTCAATATTGAATTGCTATTTCTTTAGCAGCCTTTCCTCAATCTATAAATTTAAATGACCACAAATATTATTTAGGTTTTTAAGCATTTCTTTATTGATATCAAAATTATGATCTGGCGAGACAGAAGGTTCTAAAATGTTGTGTGACTGGTTAATTTATTTTAAGACTATTTTCGGTTGGTTTTAAAGACACTAATGTACTCTACATCCAGAAAAATAAGGAACGATTCAATATTTATTGATCGGCTTAAAAATATATATGCTTTCGGTAAACATTGATTAATTTGTTCGTTAAACTTTTGTTGTGCGTCTTTAAAACATTTCGGGAATAAAAACTGTTCATTTCCCATTGGAAACCATTTGTATATGTATTTCTTGATTCTAAATCAAGTTTTTAAACTCTTGCTTTTTAAATGTACGCATATCAAGTTTGAAAACAGCGGAGAAAAGACGCCTGTATTCTATAGCTGACAATAGGAACAATCAGGTTAAGATGTTAAAAATGTGAATACCGTCAGTGTCATTGTTGTTAAAATGTGAAGTCCGTTAGTGACATTGTTGTTAGCCCTATTTAAAAAAAAAACCCAGAAATATATTGTTGGTCCTTTCGCCCAATTGCCTACAGAAGAGGATAATAAGATCATAACCATTTTTAATACTCCCGTTTCGAACTAAAGTATATATGTTCTTGATCAACATCACTAGGACATACGAGCTAGTCATGTCTGGCTGTCATTTCTACGCAAACCAGTTTCTTAGTTTTAAGGCTATTCGGATAAAACATTCCCAAAGTCTTGTTGCTATCGCAGGTAGTAAAAAAGTCGGAACCGGCCGGATCGGACGACTATAAAATATAGCTCCCATAGGAACATTGTTGTTCAATACGTTCCTTTCTAGTTACTAATTCGGATTAGGCTACTGGCCACATTACTGAAAAAGGCCACATGTTCAGCACTGGTCCTGGTGTGTGGGCACATCCTGGTGACTGACACCGGAAGTCGTCTGCAAGGGGGCTGACTTGACTAACGCCCCGCGGCACAGAAGTTTGCGCCCAAAAGACAAGACAAGACAAGAAAGACGCTGTCATAAATATTTATGCGAGTTTGGGGAACAACAATGCGAGCGCACCAGGGCAAACATTCAGCTGCTCCAAACTACACATGCGATTGTCTAAGACAGCCACAGACAGGAGTCCTTCTTTGGGGCTGGGACAGGACCAAGCTCCAAGCACCGCCCACCACCCACCGCCCGCCACTCCACCTGCATCCTCGTGCAGCTGACAATGAGCAGCAGGATACATTTTGCACCTGCCACAGCCGCGACATGTTTGCTCAGCGTTTTCGGTGGCGAACGAAGGGGGCATCCGCTGAGGGTACGGGCATCCCTCTAATGGATGGCGTGCAAAAGTTGACACAACACCCGGACTGAGGCAACAGCTCCGGCTTCGTCCTGGCCTGCAGCTGCTGCACTCCGGCTTCTCCTTGCGCAGGAAAGCTTCTCCTGGCAGCTCAACCCTTGCCCATCCACATCCCACACCTCAGATCGACGTTGAAAAGGGCAAAGTTTTCATCGCAAGGCGTTTTCGTCAACTAATCGGCTACGAAGCTGCTGCCTGGAGACGCCAGGATATGCCATCCTATCACAACTTCCCCGCACCGAAGGGATTCATGTGAATTCTGTGCGCGTTTCACTTTTCAACAGCTTCTGGAAATTAACCCTGGCTATGTGACGGACTCCCAAATATGGTTCGTATCCGTATTGGTAAACTGCTGCCATTTAATGTAGGAATTACTTTAAAAGACGAAAGCTTAATGGAAAAGTTATAATTATATAAATTCTAATTATTCTAAAATACGAAAGCTTTATGTATAAATGTATACATATTTGTTCGTTTTGTAATAGATAATATTTAATAAACTTATTTTTGGTTTACAAAATCAGTTATTCCATTATTCGTTTTTGATCGATCCTCAAAAAAAAGCAAATGACCGAAATCACTAAATGCCTATTTTCTGAGATCATAAATGAAGTAAACTAGCTAATATGCATAAAAACCTGTTGATTTTGGGGTCTCATTATAAATGAAATTTGAAAAGTTTTATTATTACAAAAATATTTTTACCCTAAAGAAATTTCAAATATTGATTTTTACTTTTACTTTAAAAATTCTTTTTGTAAAGATATTTTGATATTATATCTGAAAACAAAACAACTTCTATAAAACAGAAGGATAAACTTACAAACTTCTGACCAAAATTATAGTACACTCGGCAGGTGTACGAAAATCGATCATAATAAAAAATTGTTTTTCACTGATACTTGGAAAAATATGTGTTATAATGAAATTGTTTGGAGAACTACAACTAGCCCAGCCCTGCTGGAATTCAATTTGGGAAGTAATGTTGCCTGGTTTGGACCCATGAACATATTTACCTTTTCCGGGAGGAGGGACAACCGTATTAGCGAGACAGACGGTTATAGCTGAAGAAACTCAAGAACTTGCCGGAGAAGACGAAGTCTGGAAAATGCATTTGAGGAAATAAAAGTTAATGTTGGAGGTGAAAATACAACTGGAAGCTGGGAAAACGAACCAAGCGAGAGATAATTTTGTTGTTCGCTGTATGTTTGCTTTTGTTGCTGCATCTAATTCGCTTTGCTTTCTTTCAGCATTATGTTGGTGTTCCTGTTGTCCCGATTCCGTTGTTGTTGCTCCCATTATCCTGGGCAACAGGAGCAACAGAAACAAGAACAATTTACGGCAAACTCCTGCAGGTAAAATGGCATCCTTTTGTCAAGTCCTGCAGAACCTTCAAGGAGTGGCTGTGCCCCACCCATCCCCTCCTTTTACCACCCACTTCCGTCTTTTTCCCAGTTTTTCCCCTCTCGTCATCCTGCTTGGTCGCTGTCGTTGTCATTGTCGTTGCTATTCAAACTCCATACAAAGTGACATTTCACATATCAGCGACGCCTCCTTCTGTTGAACCTCGTCCTGCCCCCCTCGACATCGCGATGGCATCATTAGAAATGCATGACAATGTTGTCTTATCCCCATTCACCCGACTGGCCACGCCCCATAGCCCTTAATACATCCCCCACTCGCAGACTGTTGTTTCGCTGTTTGTCTTGCAACCGGAATTTAGATTAAAGATTGAAACTTTGTTAATGTCGCGCATTATTAAGAAAAATCTTTTTTCCCTTGAGTTCCAAATAAGCTAAGCAAATTGCCCATGCTTTGTGGATTTCAAAAAGGTGAAGTTTTAAGAATTTCAGAGAATACATGCTATATGGTCTTCCAAAAGAGTTGTATTTAAAAATAAATTCATATGTAGTTTTCATGAGTCAAAGTTTCTTAATCTAGAAAATTGAATAACAATTTCGATTTCTTTGCCTATATTATCAAAAACAATGAAGCTATGTCGATTTTCCGCTGAATTTTGAGATCATTTTTTCCGATTTTTATAAAACTAAAAGCGAAATTCTGATATAGTAAATAATTACTATATCTCAAAGGAATATTTTGATAAATAGAAACACAGCAAAATAAATTTTAGATTGTAATACATTTTTTTTCATGAATGCACTATTCACATTTTGTAACGTCAAATACATACGTTGACCCTAATGACATCTTAATAACTTCTGAAATAATTGTTTGTTTTCAAACATTTTTGGTGTGTCGATAGAAATAACACAAATAACCAGCCCAACAACAGGCATTTACCATGCTTTAGAGTCTAAGTCTTAATTCTTGTGTTATTTAAAAAGGTTACCTGGGCAAAGGGCTTAAAAAATCAATCAGTATAGTTAAAGAAATCTTCGGGCCCCCAAAAAATGTACCGACTACATCAAAGGCACACCCACTTCAATTGACAACTAATTCTGTCCTGGCTCATTTAAATCCCAATGTTGCTCCATTACCAAGAGCTCCCCGGAAAATAGCCCAAAAGCGAGGGGAACTCTCAGCTGTTTCGATTAATTAGCATCTGTAATTGATGTGCAGAAAAGTTTTGCTTACGAGAGTTTGCATTTGCATTTTACGGGTCCCTTTGACTGAGCTGCGGCTGGACAAACGTGGATATGGCCTGAAACTGGTGTGCTTGGACTTGGATTTGGATGTGAACGTGCCTCGTCTTTTTGCCGTCCGTAAAACGTGACTTTGGTGCGAATTACTTTTGCCTTGATTTAATATAATTAAAAAATTTCCCAATTCCTACAAAAAGTCGGGGAAAGGTTTTAAAAAAGTGACAGACTTTTGGCCATGGTCTATATCGAGATGCTTTAAATTTAAATTTCCCTTCAAACTTTTCCAGGTATTCCTTGAAACTGCACGAGCTGAGTCACACGAAGTCACTGGACCGACGCTTTCGCTGCCATTTTGCGAACTGTTCATATGCAGGTGTGACCCAGGAAAGCCTCAGAACTCACCTGATCTCCCACGCCCAGGGCAGCCACAAGTGCAAGCGGGACGGCTGCAGCTATGTGGGAAAGAGTGAGCTGCACCTGAAGAGGTGAGAGAACTACAAAATATTTACTTTAAAAAACATTTGTTAAATTTTATCCGGCTTTTGTGAAACCACTTTATTGACTTCCAATAACTAAGCTCAAAATAGTTATCTAACATTTCTTAACTGACGAATTGTCTATGAAAATATTTACTTACTTCTAAAACTCTTAAATTTGGATACAGTTTTTATAAAAATTTTCAAAGTTTTTGGAAAAAAATCGTTATAGCTTTATATGTGAACAAATTCTACAACCCACCTTTTTTAAAATAATGAAAAGAAATGTTAGTTTTGTTGTTCTTATTTACTTTATTCAAATTGGAGAAAAATAGAAGTAAATAATAGCGCAAAAACTGGGGCTTTAATAATTTTAAAAATTCAATTAAATATGCCTAATGCCGAAATTAAAAAATACAAAAAACTGTAGATTCTAAGGTGATGGTTCAATGCGGGGTTTTTATAATGCGGTGGTCTATTAAGATTATATAAGCTACATAATTCACTATGGCCCCAAAAATAGAATTTTCGTATTCTTAGCTATACTTATACATCACTGCAGAAGGCAGCATCTTCCCATGTTTTATCACAACCTTCCTACTTGAATTAACATCAATGTTAGAGATTTCAGTAAGGACTTTGAACCTGTCAAAATATAATGGAATGCCTTCTCAAGTAAATTATAGAATTCAGCTTGACACTATTTTTAAGAACTATTATGTCAAGGGTAAACTTGATTTACCAATTTTTGGACTATCTGAGTAGTGTTCAGTCTTTCAGTTTTTAATTTATGTATACCGTTTCCATAAGTTATATAGAAACTTTGCGAACTTTTTGAAACTTTAATTCCATGTTTCTATTAGTTTATTAAAACTTCATTTATACCGTGTTGCCAGTTATTTGGCATTTTATTATTGCCACTGAAGTTCCTATACTGGACGCATTCGACGTCGGCGAGGTCTCCCAGGTGCCTGACCATTTTTTCGGTCTATTACTAATCTAGAAAATGCTAATCAGGACTTACAAAGAAAGAAAACAAAAAAAGACGAAGCCAAGACAATTGCAGGCAACAAAATAAACGAGCGACATTTTCTCCACGAATTTGAATTTCTTGCAAAAAAAAGAAGAAGTGGAGGATAAAAAAGAGCAACAAGAGCAAAAATGTCATCTATAATTGCAGACTTTGAACGGCAATTGCATAAATTGATGAAAACAACAAGAAGCACAGAACCACTTCGTTGGGGGAAACGGGGAATGTGGGGATAAGTTGGAGGAGGACAGTCGCCGGAGTCGCCGCTCGATCCCCACAAAATCGTGACTTATCGATCGCCTTTGATATGCGCATTGAATTCTTGTAATATTTCTACGGCTCCCCTCCGATCCCCTGCTCCCCTCGCCCCCACTCCGGGAATCCCGACGATCAGTTCAGGGCCAAATTGCCGGCAATATGGTAGTGCCACTGTTGGCCAGCCACTGTGCAGCTGTCCGCCCCAGAGATCACCGCGAACGGAGGAAAAGAGAAATAAGAGGAAAAAGAGTTGCAGACTCGGTTGTAAGTGGCATTGGATGTGGACGTGGACCTGGACGTGGAAGTGGACGTGGACGAGGAGGATCGTCGTCGTCGATTTCTCGATCGCTTTGATGGGGACGACATTTGGCTTCTTTTGTACTCCGCCGTTGGTTGGTTGGATTGTGAGTTGCTGATTTGAATGTTGCAGCAGTGGGATGGATAATGGTTAATACCCCAGATCACCTTAACCTTTGGCTCTGGGTCTTTTGTTTTCTTGGGAGGAGTAAGGTTACCGGCTCCCAAACATATTTTTTATATTTATGAAGTGTAACTAAGGACTAAGCTACACTACAAATAAAATTAACACAAAGCTTAGGAATTCGTATTCGAATTTTTTTTTCTAAATCCAAAAAAAGGTTCACAAACCAGGAAACTTAAAAAAAAAATATATTTGTTAAATCAGGAAAAATCCTATTACGTATAGAGAATAATATAAACTAAAATCGTCTACAAACATTTCTAAACTGTATGTAGATTTACATAAATAAAAGTTTGCTTTTACTTAAACCCTTAAAAAAATGGTTATCTCTTCTACAACCAAGAAATATGTTATATAATTTTGAAATATGTTGTATAATATGTTATAATGTTATATAATACAATATAATCTAAATATAAATGTTATCTATAATATAGAAATATTTTCTTAGGAATAGAAACTATGATTTTTTTTTGCTTCCTCAGTGGGATAGGCCGGACTGATGTCCCCGTAGCGTTGTGGTCTTAGAACTCTAAGCACCGCAAGTTCAAAATCCACTGCTCCACCTTAGGGGAATTTTAATGGTCAAAATCGCATAGAAATATAAAATCAAAAATTAAAAAAAAATTCTACAAGCTGTATTCTTTGACGCATAACTAATTGGGTATCTGAAAGAATAGAAAACAGGCCCTCATACATATTACAAAATATTTTTAATATACATAGCAGAGATGTCTGTAACTTAAAAGAAAAATAGATTGATCCATCATTGATTGTTAGATACCAATCAGTGTATATATTGTTCTGGTGAACGCGACAATTGATACAAAAGAGTGTATCTTTGTCTAATGCATTAGCATTAGACTTAGCTAAGTCCCAAAGGCTATCTGCTCATGTGGATATTATTTTCTTAAAATAGTCCTTTCCGTCCACCCACGAAACTCTCTTGGTAATAGTTCTTTACAGAGAAATATTTTGGGCTAAGTGAGTTATTAACATCTAACCACTTTTAAGAAATGTTCCATATCACGGCTTGTGATTAAAATCCTCACTCATTTTTTAGAAGTCCTGAATGCAACCTCCTTCTAAATTTAATGAACCTACTCAGCGAAGGCAACGTATATCAAGAGGAAAACAAAAGCCTTCGCCTCATTAAAAATTCGCAAAGTTGACCTGAGCCAAAAATCGGGGCATGAATAAATCTTGCCCAGAAATCCAGGCTCCGAGACAGGCAACGAGAACTGTTGTGACGCACTTAACTCACATCCGAGATCTTCAATTAGCTATCAAAAGGCAGCGCTGCTGATCCAGGAATTTCAAAGCGCAGCCAAAAAGGCGTTCGCTTGGCAGTCTCGGCCTCGATTCGCGAATCGCGATCCGCGAGTTTGTCGGCATTCGACACGCAGAGATACAGGGGGTGGGTTCGGGGCGGAATGGGGGTGGAGAGCCTCCTACAACCGGCGGGTCGGTCTTGAAGCTCCATTACTTGCCGCTAATTAAGCCTACCGAGCCGCGCATGAGCCGCGCCTGTCTGATTCGCCCGGCTTTCGGCTTTCGGGCTTCAGTCTTCAGGTTATTCAGCCGGAGCTCGAGATTTCACACAGATTCCGATTCCGGCGGCCCGAGCTCACAAAAAAACATTGGCAATTAATTGCGACTCTTCGGTTTGGACAGTAGCTGATAAGTGGAGTGGACAACACACACAGGCACACCGACGCGAAAGACTCCTTCAGTTGACTTTTGGGGGACCAGCTCCAGGAGCATTGGGCATAATTGAAGGCGCGTAACTGAAATCGTGTGAGTGAGGTGAGCTCTCTCTTCCTGGTGGAGCATATGGGTTCTAAAACATCAGACTCATTTTATTAATTTTAATAATCTCTATAGAAAAAAAAAGGTTCGTATTTTTAAATTTTAAATTAAGGTTAGTTTTCCCAAAAATAGGCCATTTTTGGGAATTTTTTTTTTTAAGAAAGAAAAACTTTTCATGTATATTTCTGATATATTAAAGATCATTTTGTACAAATTTAAAAAATTTTGGAACATTTTGGAAGCTTGACATAGGGCGACGGAGGACAATGCGCAAAACAGGAACCCCGCTGGCGACTCCTCTACAGGTCGTAAAAATCGAAACAAAAATTCAAAAATTTTCTGGTTTAGTATGAGTGTAATTATGGACTGAGCTACATTTATCGAAATTTAATAAAAAATAACAAAATGGCGGCGTTTTAAAAATTTTTACCGATTTTTTTGTAGATAAAAAATCCAATCTATGAGCTATCTATGTAATTCTAGTCCACTCCATAGACAATTTCATTACGCGTATTTTAAACTTCGGCATTCTATCAACTATCATGCAGTTAAATTAAATATTTTAGATTTCGTTTAAAATTACTATATTCCGAAGTAAATGGGTATATGTTCAGAATAAACACACGACTACCGAAGTTTGCTTCCTTTCTTGTTTAAAATCATTTCGATAGGGAAGTCCTCTTTTAAATGTTTTATAGTTAATATGCCTAAAATGTTTGTTGTAGGTCTGTGGTTATTGCACAGCACAAGAACCTTAATAAAACAATCCTGAACTTTACAATTTCCTCCAGAAGTAGCTCACTAGTTAGTCGTGCAGACCTGACCGTTCGATTACCCAATATTGGTGTCCCTCTCCGAACCCAAAAACTGATCGCCATCTAAGCCATGCCCGGATTGGCTGAGCCTGCCTTTTCTCCTCCTCCTGCTGCTGCTTCTCCCGCTGGCCGAAAGGCAATTGGCAATTGCCAACTTACTCGTATTTTGATTTCGAGCGTGCGATTCGAATGCGAAATTAGCAATTAGTTCTGACTGCGGTGGCGGAACAAGCCGCCACTGGAATTTACCGCCTAATCAAGCGTTGAGATTTTAAATATGGCTTCGCTCAAGCTTCCTACTTGTTTCTCCGCAGGCACACAAAGTCCGCACATCCCGGGGAGGAGAGTGGCGCGGAGTGGTTCTCCTGCGATCAGTGTGAGTTCAGGGCCCGCATCAAGGGCCATCTTCGCCGGCACTCGCTGCGTCACTCGGGCCAGAAGCCCCACCAGTGTCCCCACTGCGACTTCCAGTGCAGCACCATCGACAACCTGCGAAAGCACATCATCAAGACGGGCAAGCATCCCGGCAAATTCATCTACGAGTGCGGAAAGTGCTCCGATCAGGCAGCCATCGAGATCTTCAGGAGCAACAGCTTTAAGGAGTACCAGAAACACTTGGACACTCACAAAGCGGGCTAAGGGAGAAACTGAAGGTACGCTTGTTAATATAATCATTAATTATTGAACATTTGTAAAAGTATGTTTTCCATCGACTGGAAACAACGAATATCGAATTTGGTTATAATTCCTTTATTTGCTTCTTCAAAATCTCGCACGTGTTTTTGAAATATTACTTTAAGACGCTTATATAAATGATTTGAAGCCTATACTAATAATACCTTTTGAACATTTTTAAGTTCGTTTTATCTGTAACTATCCATCTATCACCCATAAAGAAAGAATTAAGACTTTTTGCAAAGTTTCATTCATAGTTTAAAACTGAGGGACTATTGTGTAGAAACGCACAGACGGAGAGACAACTGGTAATGCTGATCAACAATACGTACACTTGATATACAGCTGTATGAAAAAATCGTCCGATTTTTATAAAATGATTTAAATTTTTTACAACTATTTTTGCCTATGTGCTTAAAACCCTTGAATATATTTTTTCAGTTAATTTTTCGAATGTTTCAAGGCATTTTTTTGATATAGTTGTTCGATCCGGCCCGTACCGAATAATACATACCAATGGAATGAAGACTTTTGGGAAAGTTTTAGAATATTAGCTTTAAAACAAAGAAACTAGTTTTCATGGAAACGCGGCTAAATGACTCGCCTGGTGATGTTGATCATAGATATATATAATTTGTATGAGCGAAAAAGTATCCTTCATTGCGTTGCAAAACTTATGACTGAAATGTACCACCATCTGCAAGAGTATACAGAATATTTGGTCCTTTAAGAATACTAGAAAAATATTGTTAAGAAATTACAGGTCCTAGCGGGACTTTCATATCAATTTTTGATTCGTAAATTTTTTGTTCAGATTTTTCGCAATAACAGTTGTTCGTTGTACCAGATTTTAGACGTCGGATGAAAAACATTTTTTTCATAAGAACTCAAAAAATATAACTCAAATCTAGGCCTAAAAAATCGTATTTACCTTCCTTTAAACCTCATAAAATACCTTTTTCATTTTAGATACAAACAGGCAAACGGATTAATAAAAGACCACTGCTTCTTACTGGCCCAATACTATCTCCACTTGTATTCATATTTTTCAAATAAAAAAAATTAAAATAAACTTCAAATGAAAGAACCACGAATTTATTGTAATACTTGTTTGTTTGTTTCAATGATTTTTTCAATACTTATCCCAAGATATTTAGGTTTAAATCCATTACTTGTAACAAATTTAATATTAATGTACAATCCAAAATTACAAAAAAAAATATTTTTCTAATTTTTCGTTTATTTTTTTCTCAGCAATGTGTGAAATCAATGTCGGAAGCGTGAATTGTGTTTGTTTAAGTGTATGTAATGTGGTTCTACTGTAGCTGTTGTAAACGAGCCGTTGGCTGTTCGGTTCAACATTACAGATGAGGTTTTGAAAGAGCCTTCATAATTAACAGAAATTACAGCTAAGGGTGGAAATGAAGTTCTCGCAGCACAATTGGTAGAGTACAATTGGAAATCGTTTAATGATCCACCGGCCACCAAATCCCCAATCAATCCCGTGCTTTCCGGACCAAAAGCGTCCACTTATAAGGAGTCGGATATGGAGGTACCGAATCCGAAGGTCTGCTTGATGCTGTGCCAGTAGTACCGGTACCAGTTTGTCTTCATCGCATCGTATTCGGAGGCGGGAATCCCGGTCTGCTTGAGCGACATCATTGTGCTGGACGACTGCAAGGACGAAGCGAGTATTAGTACATATATTAAAAAGTATTGTAGTATAACGAAATCGTAAGGGACACAGATCTTCGAATTCTAAAAGTGCTGATCGAAACTAACTGTACCATGTTTGGGTGGTTTCTTGTGAAGCTCGTATTTGGGTATAGCAACAGCCTAAAGTGGAGTAAAACCTGTTAGCATACGACAACCCAGTAACTCGGTACTCGGCACTTACCCATAAATACGATTGCGATCGGATTTTAAGTTAACATCTACGTGCAAAAGGTCTAGGCACATCATTAATAAAATAATGTAAAAATTAACGGACGAAGGTGGCTCCCAGTTAGCTTAAAAGTCAGCAAGAAACCTTAATAAGTCGTTTAAGTTTTAGTACCCTTTTTGTGCTACAGTATATATATTCTTGATCAGGATCACCTCCTGAGTTGATATAAGTATGTCCGTCTGTCTGTCTGTTTCTACGCGAACTAGTCTCTCAGTTTTAAAGATATCGAATTGAAACTTTGCACACACCCTTCGGCCGGGATCGGCCGACTATATCCTATAGCTGCCATATAACTGATTGATCGGAAATGCCATAACTTTGCTGTTTGTAAAGTTAGGAAGTTGGGATTTTCTATGAGTAATAAGAATGTATTATATGAATAATTTTGGAGAATATAATTTACAGAATATTCTGCAAGGGTATATCAACTTCGGCTCCGCCCGAAGTTAGCTTTCCTTTCTTGTTTATCTATCGATTGTGTGCTTTCATAAAGCCAGGAGCACTGCTCCCGTTTTCCGGCTTACTTACAGTTTCCTCCAGCTCTATTACAACATTTGAGTAGTGACCAGAAGACCAGTTTTTCAGACGCCAGCTCTGTTGGATCTTTTTTTCGGGCACGAGCTCCTCGAACTTTCCCAGCACATTTCCTCCATAAAGAATGAATCTAAAATGGGGTAAAAATTAAATGATCAAATAGGAATTCATTGAAGTTAAAGAAAATTAAATAAAGTCAAGTCATTAGATATCATTGCTCTAGATCCGGATTTTTTATCGATGGTGAAGTGCGGCAAGGTGCTTAAGAATAAGGAAACTTACTCGCCACCGCGCACGGCATCGACTTTGGCGGGGGCCCGCGTGAAAGCGGTGACCATGTCCGGCTTTGTGAGGGCGTTGTACAGGTCATTGGCGCTGCAGTGGAACTCTTCGGTCAGGGAGAGGGTCCGTACGTCCAGCTTGCAGCCGACGCTCGAGTTGTTCGCTTTGGGCGCCGCCAACGAGCTGTTCGATGTGGCCTTCTGAGCGGCGTTCCTAGCGTTATTAGCATCCTTGGCATTCGCCACTGCGTTTACCGCCGAAGCATCTTCGCCCTTCTTTGGTAGAATCAGGTTCTTGGAGTACTCCTCCTTCAGCTCGCGGATGTAGGCGCCCAGCTGCTGGCGCACGCGGTCGCGGCCCACGTTGTACATGAACTGCTTGAGGGTCTCCGACTCGTCGTTGGATTCGTCGATGGTCACCGTGATCTCCACGTCCGCGAGGTCGTTTTCCTCGGAGAGATTGGGTATGGTCAGCTTGCCCTTGTGGCTGAGCATGCTGTTCTTGAGCAGCTTGCCGGACCACTTGAGCACCAGCTCCCACTCGTAGAAGAAGATGAGCTTGCCCTTGCGATTGTTGACGGTCGCCTCGCCGGAGCACTTGTCCACAGAGTCGACGACACACTCGATGTCGCTGTGGCCTGCGTTTCGGGGTTTACTTTTAGGTTAGAATGGCTATACTGGCGACGCAAGCGTCTCGGTGGTACTTGCCTATTTTGAAGTCTTGGAATAGTTGGTGCAAGCGGTCCTTGGACCATGGCGTGGCGTTCTTTTCCGTCCAGTGCCAGTTGTTCACGTTGGTGGCGTCGGGGCGCTCCTCCACAATCCAGCGCGGATCTCCTTCTCCCCACTTGGCCATCGCTAAATCCGGACTAACTGGCTGTGGTTGTATGAAATGCTGGTTGATGTGGGTGCGATTTCTATCCGGCAGTGCTTTCTTTAGCTGATTCTGTCGTCTCACGTTGGCCTGCGAGTCGAATTTTCTAGAATTCTGCGTTCAAAATAGGGATGTAAAATTATCGATGCCAGGGCACACATATGTTGGAAGCGTTGCCACCTAGTAATTATTTGTAGACCCGTTGAGTATCCGAAATTGTGTGACTTTTTATCTCTTCCTGACAGTTTTCTGAAAGAAGTTATGGTCAACGTTTTCTGAAAGAAGTTATGGCCAAAGTCTGTTGTTGTTTTTTTAACTTATGTCATTTTGGTATTTAATGTTTGGGCTTTTAATCATCTGTTCGCAGCGCTGCCACTCGATGATATTTCAAGCTACTTTGGTTGCAAAAAAATAAATTTAGAAAGCCTTTATACAGATTTTTCTGTCAAATTTAAAATTAACAGGATATTCTCATTCAGTCATATTTTTTGAAATAATGTTTTAAAACAGTTATAAATTATCTAATACTGCCAAAGACAACAAAAATGTGTAGTGAATTGAAAAGTATTGCAGCATTGGGGAAGTTAGAAAATTTATTCAGTACTTTAGTCCCATTATAAAAATTATTTAAATTATTAGAAAGTGGAATTATGTGGCAGTGAAAACTGACTAAAAGTCTGACTGGCCACTCAGTTGCTCTTGTAACGCTAAGCTTCTGTCAGCTTAACCGCAGTATTTTTCTGGTATCCAGCAATTGTCGATAGTTTGTCGTGCATCGGTATTTAACACATCCCTAGTGGAGACCTGAAAGAAAATGGCGATAGAATTTTTTGGTGTTGATTTGTTTATTATTCGCTCTCCTTAAATTGTTCAATGAAAAGCGTTCGAAATAAGCCAACTGCTTTCGAATAATGTACAACTAAGGTGTGTGCCGTGTCCGCGAGTGTGTGTGTGTGTTCAGTGGCGCCACGATGATCAGCGCGATGGACAATTTCGACAACAGATCGTACGGAGCCATTTCAAAGGGGCGCAGTGAATTCTCGATGCCAGGTAAAGAGCAGACCGCATCACCTAACGATTGCAACTATCATTATTTACTGTATATATAGTTAATACATTATATACTCAAATGGGCGAGTCCCAAACAAAAAGTCAAACGAAGCAACAAGCAACCTATGTGTTTGTGTGTATGGGTGTGCAGTGCGTGTGTTCCTCTGTGTGTGTGTGCTCTCATTTGCTGGCCTTCAATCGAATTTAATCCGCAGTGCCGAATTAACGCTAATAAGTCAATTTGCACAATTAGCCACCCATTGTGTTTTTGATTTGCGAAAGACGAGGAAGCGTTAGTAAACATTAAGTTGTTTATTGATTAGGCGAAGCTTCTGGCTACGTCACAAGCAGCTGCCATCTCGCTCTTGCGCATACAGTCTAAGTGTGTGGGTGTGTTTACATGCGTAAGCCTGGAATGCTGCCATAGTTGGTGTTTTTGTTGCTGCTTTCCAATTAACCAAATACAAATTGACAAAGAAATAGTTCAATTATTTTTGTTTCGTCTCTCATTTTGCAGAATTAACGCCAGAGCAGCAGAAGCTGTTGATTGAGCTGCGCCGCAGGAAGCAGGAACTTTTACTCGAAATACAGGTGAGTGACCAGCGAACAGTGATGCGTGAAAATACAGATAACCATCTCGCAATAAAAAAGTTTAAATTATGCATACATCAATTTACAAAATTGTATTGTAATCACAGCCAGCAAAGCCAATAAACGAAAATGAAAACACTGTTTACACGATCAATATTTAACATAAAATAAATTAGTTTTATTATTTATATCAAACGGATTTTATTTTGTTTTAATTGAATCAAAAATATGACCAGAGGATTTATTTAATTAACAACATAAACTTGGGTTTTATCTCCCTAGCATTTATATAAAATAATGTTTAAACTTTAAAAGAAACACTTTAAATACATCGAAAATATGTTTTGTGGAAATTATTAATTAAATCTTAGATTCGCGTTTGATAGGCTTTTTAAAGAGACTCTCGTAAAAAAATGTTTTTTTTATTGATATTATTTTAGTCAGGACCCTAAAAAAATGGAACCCATCCGATAGACATGATAAAAATTAGATTTTGCCTGTTACTTTATTTCAAAATAAATTGTCGAATAAAAGGAAGGTGAAAGAGAGAAACTAAATGTTTTGTCGGAACTTTTAGTAAAATCCTTTGCTTATTGACTATATATATGGTCATTATGTAAGAAATGTCAGAAATATTTAAGAAAACCGTATTATATAAGTCTGTATATAGGTACATATGTATGTACAATATCTGCAAAAGTACTCTCTACCTTTGTACCAAGCTGATTCATCTTATTCGTTCGAGAGGCCTTCACCTTTTTCCAACTTAATGTCAGGCTGCTCACCTCTGGGCACCTGTAAAAGCTTTATCTTCGAGAGCTTCTTTCTTCAACTCCATTGTGCTGTGCCGTTGTTCTGGCGGCTAATTAGTCTGCTCACATTTCGCTTTGACCAATTTGCTTAGAGCACGGATTGTTGTTGTAAATTTATTTGATTGCCTTTGATGACTTTTGGCGCTTCTTTTTCTTCTATTGGCGCTGGTCGAACAACAATCGAACAAAAGTATGCTTAATGAACAACGTAATAAAAAGTACCGTTATTGTGGAGTGTGGACACTTTACGTAGTTTTTGTTGTCGTTCATAACTCATTTTTGAACTTCTCTGGTTGACATTTGTTTAATCGCCGTTTGCTACTTTCGTGTTTGTCTTTTGGCATGCCAAAAAAAAATGAAGAAAAACAATTTTGTGGGAGACAAAAAAAGTAGCTGTAAATTTAAACAAAAAAGGAAGCAAACTTTGGCAAGCCGAAGTTTGTATGCCCTTGCATTCTATGCCTAGACTACTACAAAAAATTGAAGCAATGACAATTTCATTTTTATGGCAGCTATAAGATATTGTTGTCCGATTTTGACAAAACTAAAAGCGTAATTCTGATATATTACTATATCTCAAAGGAATATTCTGATATATAGAAAAACAGCAAAATAAAAGTTTTTGATTTAATTAAACCCTAATTCCATAATATTTAAATATTACCAAATCCCAAAGAAGAAAACAACAAAGTTATACTTAAAAAAAAAATGTTTCCCCTTGTTCCTATGGGAGCTATATAATATATTCGCCCGATCTGCCTCGTTCCGACTTATTTACTACCTGCAGTAGACAACTTTTGTTTCAAGCAGATAGTTTTTAAACTGAGGGACTAGTTTGAGTAGAAACGGACGGAAGGACAGGCAGATGGACACGAATCAAGAATATATATACTTTATAGGGTCGAAAATGTCTCCTTTACTGCGTTGCAAACTTTGACTGAAATTATAATACCCTCTGCAAGGGTATACAGAAACTGTATAACAGAAGAGGAATTGTCAAAAAAGGTTTTTAGCACAAACATTTAAAACTTTAATGCTTTATACAATACAATAAATGTACGATATTTCATGTTTTACAAATTCACAGTCTAAAAAATTATGTTTAAGATGATTGAAGTGGTAATTTACTTGTGTTTAATACTTAAACTTAGTTTTGTTACTACTTTAAATGGTTAATGCTGAATCTTTTGATTCACAAAACTGATCATTAGATTTATAGGAACAAATATTGTAATATAATAAATTATACTTACATTTGTCAAATAGTTGTTATGAACTACTGCGCCAGATAGTAATTTTAATATTTTTATTTCCATAATTTCACATATGAAAAATTCAAAGTCTGGTCACCTCTTAAAATGATTTTGCCTGCCTGGCTTACCTGATTACGGTCCTGTGCTCTGAACACATCCAGGATTTTTGAGTTTCGCTCTCATAACTCATGCCGCTCATAATTCTCCGCGACTGTGTCTTAGTCATCAATGACGTTTCGGGGGAGAAGAAACCTACGTTCCTCGATTGTCCATCCCGCCAACACACGCTGATCGTTTTCAAGTTTCTTACGGGTGCTGTGATTGTTAATTGTTATGCATATTTCTTGATTTCTGGTTTTGTGCGTGTGTGTGGCAGAAAACGTGATAAAGAGCCAACCAATTGTTATTTAGTGTTTAATATACAGTTTTTATAGTGGTTTCAGTAGTGCTATGTACAAGACTCTATTTCGTAAGATTTTAAAGAAAACTAAATCTAAGGTGAGAGTTAAACCAAGTTCGTGATTTACTCAGTATTAAGCAACATATTCATATATTGTTCTGTGTTAAAAGACTAGAAATTAATTTATAAATGAAAAGAAGGCCATAGTATACTATAAATTATTAGAAAAGTATTTGGTAAGGTTTTATAAGGTCTGTGTTAACATAAAACCATTAAAGTAGTTATGTTTTAAAGTATTTACTGAAAAGGACGTAGGTCAGCAAAAATCATCCACTAATCCTCTGCACAATATTCAATCTTCTAGTTCGCTATATTTTCCACAAAATTTAGCTGGTTCAGCAAAATTTCCACCACGGCTAATTACGAATAATTTGGCCTGCACATTCTGGCTGGGTTCCCTGGCTCTATCCTATTCCACTTCATTATTCCTACCTGGCGCGGCAATTGACACCTCGGCCTTTTCCTATCCCCTCTCCTCTTCCCTAGTTACCTGGACTGCTGGTGCCCTTTACCGCAGTGCATAAATTACCAACTCTGTTCCCTGTTTTTTCGCTCCTGCTCCCTGGTTTCGGGTTTTAGTTTAAATTTTTCGGCAATTAGCTGAGTTCAGCTTTCGGGTTAAGTTGGTGGCTGTGCAGTTCAATTCGCTTTGTTTGCAGCGGCAATAAATTCCAGACAAATTGACAGTTTTGGGTGTTCACAACAGCAGAGATACTTGTTACCAAAGTAGTTTGATCAAGAGGATTTTCTGATCTTTATTAAGCCTGTTTCTGGAATGGTTTCCAAGGACCATATGTATTTTGGAGTATATGCGCATAAATTAGTTATTTGATTGTTCATCTGTGTGCTTTATCATATATCGTCGATCAGGGACGTTTATAAACTTGATCTGCCTAAACTTAAAAGAAGACGATTGCGAACGTTTTACTGATGATTCTGATTAAGAATACCTGTACATATGTATATACTTTAAAGAGTCATACAATTCTCATTCTTTTCGTTACAAACATCTGACCAAATTGTAACACCCTATATTTTACTTTTTCTGTTTTGATTATTATTGAGCTAAGGACATTTGAGTTCGTTATCTCCTATTAATGGAAATACGATTTTTATGTTCATGGGACGAAGAAGCAGGCCTCATAGTCGTTCCATTTCAAAATTGAAAATACACAGAATGAGGAAAAATTGCCAAATTGGCATCACACTAGCTACTCCCCTACAGCCCGAAAGTATGTTTAAAAATTTTTAAGACTGCCAGTTTCTGTTCTGTTGACAGTGGGTATTAAAGCCATTTATTCTAAAAAAAAATAGTACGATTGTTTGTAATTCTTACTGTTTTTAGTTTACATCGATCATGGATTTGTTTCAGATAGTTGATGGACAATTAAACTTATAACATGAATTGATGAAACATTCGAAAATGTAGCCATTCAAATTCGGGTTTTTATATTGCAATTAATTATTAATTAATTATACCTAACATATTTAAACATTCCGCCTTGGCATAAATACTGACTTATGTTATCTGGCATTCCTTTGCCATTATATTTCCGATCTAATGCTCAGTCCCCAGAATTCCTCGGAAGTGCTTTATATATACATATGTATGTACATACCTCGACAATTAACCATCCGGCTTGCTCGTCGCAAATATTTAATATTTTTGTTTGATATGGGTGAATCATGGCTGACGTACTCGCCTTTATCGATGCTTTTTTGTTGCGCCTGCATATCTGGGCAATAGTTGGCATTTAATTTCCTAGTTGCTTTACTACCAGACGTGCTGATTAGGTGCTAATCACGCTTTCCTACAGTGGGCAGCTGGGCTCGAGCGTTGATAAAATGTGGTTTTTGTTCATACATATACACAAGTTTGGGATAACACATAATCACAATCAGAATGTTCCGTTGAACTTTCGCCATTTTATTTAGCTTACTTGTGGCTCTTTATACCCGTTACTCGTAGAGTAAAAGGGTATATTGTATTCCTGCAAAAGTATGTAACAGCTAGAAGGAAGCGTTTCCGACCCTATAAAGTATATATATTCTTGATCAGGGTCACTAGCCGAGTCGATATAGCCATGTCCGTCTGTCCGTCTGTCTGTCCGTCTGTCTGTCCGTCCGTATGAACGCTGAGATCTCGGAAACTATAAAAGCTAGAAGATTGGCATTTTGCATGCAGATTCTAGGAGTTCCTACGCAGCGCAAGTTTGTTTCAAAAAGGTGCCACGCCCCCTTTAACGCCCACAATCGCTTATATACGATTTTAAAAATTTAAAATTTTTCAAATCGCACCATTCGTTAAAAAGTTATGCGTGATCAAAGTTTCTATCTCCATCTCCCTCGCACTCCCTTTAGCTGAGTAACGGGTATCTGATAGTCGGGGCACCCGACTATAGCGTTCTCTCTTGTTTTCATCTCAATTTGCTGCTGTTTATTGCCATTTTGCTTCATGGGATTGCGCCGATGTTTAGTCATCTGATCCGCAAATGTCGCGCCAAATACTCTCTCCTCGTGAGTTTCTCTTACTGAATTGCTTTTTGATTTGGTTTTCTCTTTGCAATTTTTAAATGCTGATAGAAAAGTTTTTGTTATAAATTTTATCTCATTTAGGTTCTTTGAAATGCCTTACACCACAGCTTTAGTCGAGCTTTAAATTATGATTTATGACAACAACAAGGATAAGCAAAACAACAACTTTCGACTACAACAATGTCCAAAGAGGCAAACTTATTGAAAGCGCACTTGAAGTGCAAATTTGTTCTTTGATTTATGATGTCTGCTTTGAGGTTATGGACGAACAGGACGAGACGACTCTGAAATAAAAGGAACGGAACGGAACGAGAGGGGTCGGGGAACGGGTGGCAGCGATGGCCATTGCACTGGCCGTTCTCTACGCTCCCCTCCTTCTTTCCCTCCCTTGTTTGTAGTGCCCCGCTTGCTCCGTTTCAAACAATGGCTGGAAAACTAATCGAACTCAGCCAACAAAACACAAATGGAAATGGCACAAATGGGGAACGGTGGGTGGGAAACGGGGAATGGTGGAAGGGACAACCAGTGCAGTTTATGACGTCTGCATGCAAATGGCTTCACTTAGCTCTCACGTGTTTCAATTTCATGTGCTTATGCAAAATCAGGAGCAGGCTAAATGATAATGACTTCCTCCCATGCCATAGTCCCATTTCAACTTTTGCGGTTCATTTATGACAGCTATATAAATATATGTATATATATATGTGTGTTGCGACAATCGTTAAAAATGTTTATTTAAACATTTAGTATTAGTATTTGCTGGCAGTAGGAAGTTTAATAATTGTGACAGTTAATTAGTCCTTAATGTTATTTTTAAAGATATTAAATGAATTCAAAATGAATACATGAGTATGAGTTTGTTATTTTTATTTAAAATGCTAGTTTCGACGACAAAATATGTGTTGTAATAATAATGTACACTACAACTTTTAAATTAAAAGATAATTTATTTGAAGAGGATTATACAATATATAGATTAGTTCATAAGAAGATAATAATATCATATAGATCCTTTAAATGATTTTGACTTGAACTTAAAAATGAACGTTAGTAAGAGCATTTATGCAAAATGATGAAGTCACTTGACCGCGTTGATATCAAGCTTTCAACAAACATTTATTAATACTTAACTGGATTTTGTTAACATCAACAGTTAGCAGGAGGGCTAAGAGAACGCCTGCTCTTAATACAGTAAATCGTCTGATTTTATAAGTTCATTGTTTGTAGTGTTCTCTCTGGGCTGTATCTAAAAGATACTATTGTATCCGGGAGATACTTTGGTACATAAGAGAATGCCTGGCGTGCTCTTTCGCTCTCTTAAAGCCACTTGTTGTGAGCGGTAGTCAGCTGTGCGCCACTCGGGATTCGGGTTTCTCTCTCCGTCGGGCGACACCAGCGTTCAGTCTGAGTCGTAGATCCCACACACTATGTTGAGGTGACGGATACGGATACGGAATCGTCGGAGTGCGCGGCCTTTCAAAGCTGAAACTGAATAGGAATTTCTTTTCGCGTTTTCATGCGTTTTTTTCCGCTTTTCGAGTGCCAAAAATGTAATGAAACAAAAATACAAAAAGTGGAATGAAATCAAAATGTACGCGCACAGCTTGGATTATTTTTGGTAATTACAAATCCAAAGAGAAAGTTATTAATAATTATAAAAACACTTCGGTTAATTATTGAGAAATCGTTTATTTTCGCTGGCCATGTGCAAAAATTAAGTTGGCCGAAATTAAAGAGTTGGACGACGATAGTAAAATATAACTGATAAGGTATCGTCTTATCAATTCGCTTTGTGAGTGTGTTTGTGTCGATAGTGCAAAAATAAAGAAAAATAAATAATAAAATTAATCAGACTGCAAAAAACAATTAGGTTCTGCTAGAAGCTGCGAAGTGGAAACAAAGCGCAATAAGTTGGGAGGAAATCAGCCATTTGAATCATCGGAATATTCCATGTAAATATGCCTTATGATTGTTCATTTCCCGCTCTATATCTTGTCCAAGCAATTTACAAGTACAAAACAATACGCGTCATTTGCACTTCAGTTATTTATAATGGGAATTATTAATAGATATGTTCAGGTGTCCTCCAAACAACCAAACAGTTACGAAAGTCAACGATAAATAATATAGCCGTCTATGTGCTGACAAAAAGTAGCTGCAATCCGTGACGTCATCGTCGTATTGGTGACTTATTTACCTTTATCAATTATTGTCAGACTTTGCTTAAATTATCAATATAAAGGTACTGTTTGTTTTGTTCGCTGCTCTGACGCCAGCCGGTTTCTCCTACCGACGCGTTCTTTTCTGATTTTTTATTTGTTAAAATTCTCATATGAGTAATAAACATTTCTACGTTGCCAATTTTGTCGGGGAGTACATTTTTATGAGCCCACTTTTAATTGTTTTGAGAAAATAATTAACTGGACTGTATTTCTGTGTGGGCTGTGGGATGATACAACGTGATTTCTGCCAATCGAGAGATTCTCCTGATTGATTTGTTTAATTTTGAATTTCAATGTAGCTATAAGTTTAATTAAACTTGTTAATTATGATTATTTTATTATATCATAATTATTTATAAGCGTTAAAAGCCTACTATTGCGAAATTTATAATTTTTCTGCGGTGTTTAACCTGAAGATTTTAGAAAAACTATGGAACTGGGATATATTTAAAAAAGGCTTTAGATTATTTACTTTAAATAAATCGACCAGTAGATACATTTTATGCCCAGCGAGCCCAGCAACATTCCGCTGTTGTGTTTGCCAAAAGAAAAAAAAGGAAAGGATGAAAAATCAGAAACAAATCATTCTATAGTAAAAGGTCGGCACAGACACAGCTCGTTGAGCATTCAGACAGAGAGTGTCCGACCAATTCTAACCTTCAGACCGATGTGGCAGCCACTAAACAGTTTTCGAGCCCCAAGTATCAGCTGAAAGTTGTTCCTGAAATAAATTTGAACCAACTTTACTGCGTCAAATTGAAATGGGGAAACGGGGTAAAGGAAAGTTAGGGAAAGGATTCCGATTCCGAGTCGTTGGCACGCCATTGCGGTAGTTTGACAATTCTGCTCCCGATCTAACTCCTCTTCCTGTTCCCATTGTTCGAGGCGGGTGGTGCTGTGTATTTTATCAGGCAAACGAACAATAAACACAACAGCCACAATTGTCGTAGCAAAGCAATTGAAAAATGGGTGTGTAGTAACTCACTTAACTCGACTCCACTGCATACCAGTTCACACCCCCCGTCCACCTGCTGCTCGACTTTTTTAGCATATTTTAAGCGCGCCTGCCAATGAAACATGCCAAAAACACACAAAACTACAGGTTGGGGGACGGGGAAGGGGGGCATGAAAGGTCCCGAGTGTTGCCAACATTTTTCCTTCTTCTCGCGCTGATGGTGCCAAGAATGCAAATGGCGCGCGCTGCCATCGCATCGCGTAGTTCGTCGCTGTTTCGGGCCACTGTACAGTAGTCACTCTGCACTATTCCTGCGGTTCCGCAGCACACTTGTCCCAAAAAGACCGGGACTGTTTGTGCATTGTGCGGAGAATATATTTTTAAGTTTTGCCGAATGAAAAGCGAACAAAAAATCAATAGTTGCCACTTGTGTTGACACTGGAATTATACGTTGCGTTTGCTCTTTTATTGCGACACTCCGCTCTTGCAAAAAAACTGTATTGAATGACAACTTTCGTGGCTTTTGTGGCTTTAGAGAGTACTCGAAATGCTTTTTGATTAGAAGTACGATGGCTTGGAATTGGATTTCCTTTAACTTTGCGGTTCCCAAGGAATACAAGGGGGTTTTAGCCAATTTAATCTTAGTTTAGAAGGTACTATAAAACTTTAGAATAAAGCAAGCTTCATTTGGAAAGTGAAGTTGACTGGCAATGTTATCATATAATAGTCTAGTTTATTGTTTAATACATGGTATTTATTATGTTAAAAACAATGATCATGTTTAAAACAGCTGGGATAGAAAAAAACAATGGGCAAACAATAATGTATAAAAAACTTTAGAAAGCATAATTACCATTTGGTGTCTTAGTAAATCTTTAGCTTATTAGAAAAATAAACAAAATTCAATGATTGAACCAATTGCAAGTCAGATGAGCGGCGACTTTGTGGAGTCAGTCAGCTAAAAGCCGACCAACGACACAAGAAATTGCAACAAGTTTGATGAGATAAACGTAAAATAAAAAAAAGAAGCAGGGGCGATTGCGGTTAATCAGGGGATAATAACCTCTGCCAACGAGGGGAGGGGAAGTGGAAAGACGCCACTAAAACAACATCAAAGTGCCACCCGGACAAACCGCGAGTACACCCATAGTAATAATGAAGTTGGATAGCGACAACGATGGCAATGATGATGAACTGGCAGCCACAGCAGCCCAAAGAAGAGTTCAGTGCATCGGAGGGCAAATGCATGATTGGAATATTTTTTGTGTTGTCAACGATGGGGAAGAGCAGTTCATGCCACAGCGGATGCGTTCGTTTAAGTTATGGAACAAGGGGTCACCAGGCAGCCGTCCAAGAATCGGTCGAGTGGCGCGGAATTTTATAGTTTTGGCGGGCTATCTTTTCCCCAGCGTTCGCATTTGGTTTCGTGTGCCTGTCCGAGTTATGCGGAAATTAATGCGAAATTGGGTTCGTACCGCGCTGCCCATTTTTAGACCAGACACCGCATATGCAACTGCAACCGTAGCAAGAAAAACCGGGCATTAATTGTCAACAAACATGCGCAACGCGTGCTCCCCGTGCGTCTCGTGTTTAATGTTTATTCCCGGGTCGCCGAGCGCCTTGCATGTGCGAAAATAATTGCATTTTGCCATTAACATTTAATGCAAATGCACGGCAGTCAGCCGCAGTCAGAGTACCCCGCCCATGGACGTTATTCTAAAATGTCCATTAGCCGAGTCAGCTCGAAAACGGTTGGCCGCGTGTGGTTTGACTATAATCGGTTCGTTCAGAAGGACTTGAACGGGGAGACAACAACCCCAGCGGATATAATCAACTGCAGGTGCGAAAAGACTAACGATATTACCGCCTGGTAGCACCAAAATTTTCCAAGCCGAATAAACCGTTTTTACTAAAGTTTGATGAGGACGTGTTAAACATATTTATCTGCATTGATTTTCGATGTGTTTCAAACAGTTAATATTTGCTATACTTTTATTTAAAAACTATATTAAAACTATTTTTTAAGAAATTGGAAACTACAGTACTTTCGAAAATATTAATAATTTAACTCTCCCTTTTGTGCAGACACAATACCACATTTTAAACGAATGGGAACATAAAGAATTTGATTACTACTTATAACTTTATACTGCCAAGGAAGAACACAACGCCTATTTAATTTAAACTTTTGTTTTTTTTTGAGGTGTAAACAATTTAATTTGATAAACATATTAGCTCCGTCTAGAATTAAATATTGCTTCCCCTTATTATAACATTTAAACAACAACTTCAAACGGAAACTATACACCAGTGTTGACTCCCTTGTATCGTTTCTATACAGGCAATAACAACTATGTATTCCAAATCCAAAAATAGACTAATTCTGCTTTCAACACAACTTTCAACGCCCTTATAAACACGAAACCTTTCTCAATAACATGTAATTTAAACAGACTTTGTCTGTTGAGACGCGTCAAATTTCTACCGAAAGAAAACCTTGGGCAAGTGTTCCCAAAATTTGATATAAATTTTGCACGAGCCAGTAAATTTTTTGTTAGATGTAATTACGTTGAAAGGAAATTTAATATTTTCTGCTTTCAATTACCTAAAAAAAGTCACGTCACACATTTTATATGATAGTCTGAGACCCGTGCAAGGCAACGTGTGTAAGATGAATGATTTCCTTGATTTGTGTAGTGGTAGCTATCGAAGTTTTTTGAAATGAAAACCCATCACAATTTTCGGAGTCACTTTGAACTCGGCAGTTTCCGACTGTCGCGCTAAAACTGGCACCAAAACAACATCCAATTTACATCAAGATGTGGATGAGCCGGCAAGAGGCGTTAAAATATTTCGGATTTTTCTTTACACTGCGCATTTCGAATCAATTAAAGCGTCCGCAATGCGATCCCAATCATTGCACTTTTTTAGAATGTGTCGATTGAAACTAAAGTGCGCAACAAACACGAACATTCGATTGTAAACAAAGTATTTTTCGCCTTGCACGCTTCACAAAACGAAAGCCATTAATAAACGTGAAAATTATTATACCCGGAACTAGTAAAAAAAACCAACGAGAACATCATCATCTTCTTAGTTTTACGACACACCTTCGTTGATTTATGCCTTTATAAGTTTAGGAGAGTTCTTTAAACGTATAATTGCGATAATAAAGGAAGTATTTCCCAGTTTAACGCTTAGCCTAGGACTATTAAAATTGCACACTCCTAGGTCACTTCGTGTTAAAACCAATTAAAGACAAAACCATGCTAGGGTCTCCATTTTCTCTTCTCTTCATAAAACCATAAAATAGAATAAGCCAACAAACCATTAAAGCAGGCATAATTAATTTAATAGTCCCGCAAACGGACACGGACACGTAACCTAGCCCGTTCTGTTTACCTCCAAGTGCAAGTACTCTCTCCCATTTTCTCCCACTCTATGACTTCCACAGTACGCCCTGATATTTAGACACTTCGTGTATGCATCTGCCAGACAATAAAAGCTGCGCCATGTAACCATATTCTCCCAGTTTTGAAGGACAAGGCAGGGCGTGCTTAAAGACTGAACTCTAAGGCAGCCCCTCAAAACAGCCGGCAAAACCTAACCTAAGCTAATTGCTTCTGCCGCCAGTCGGGGTGGAATTCGAAACAGGGGCAAAGGTGGGTGGTGCACTATTGCAGGGGAAATTCAACTGCAATTTGGAAAATATAATATTGTAATAACAGGAGGGAAGCACTATCGATGGTATATTGTAAATATAGTGGATGTGCAT